GTAATGTATCTGGATAAAGTTCAAGTGTTTTACGATGAGTTTCATAACGATCACCAGATACATTTATTATAATACGATCTTCAAATGATGGATTATTATGAAATTTACGTTGTAGAGATTGCATTTTTCGAATATTGAGTAAACTTTGAACATTGATAAGATCACTATTTTGAATTAAAATAAAAGAAATAAACAAAGGATTAAAAATTGAAACTGACTATTTGTTTTTCTATATTTATTATAATGTGTAATTTTTGTGCTAATTAACATGTTGCTTGAAATATTCTAATTTCGATATTGGAGACTATACTCCACAAGTTAAAACGTATAACCAAATACTTACGAAATATAAGCATCATTACGCTTCGAATTTCCATCTGATTGTTTTATTGTCGATGATCTTTTTCTTCTAATAAAAATTAAAAATTAAGAAAAAAAAACACCATTATTTGTATTATCATACTCAAGCGAAGGTTCTAAATATTTTCGTTGATCTATTGATGACCGTTCAATAACATCACGAGATTGATGAGTTGAATGAGTAGGCTCTGATTTGCGAGTCCTCTCCATTGTATTATCTACATATATCTATTGATACGGCGCACATTTAATCGAGCAAAGAAAGGAAAGAAACACGTAGTCTTTGCAATATCAAATACTAACGAATCATATGTTGTCATCCATCAATGAATCCAAACAATGAGGAATACAGAACAAAATTTTATTGTGTGATTTAATCAAAATGAGTCAACAGAAGTGCTAGCTCAATATTTAAAAAGAGATATAAACAAAATAAAAGAAAATTATGTAATAAAATAGGTATGTTTCCTATTAACTAATAAAAATAAAAGCAGATATTGTAAATATCCTACAGCCATTTAAATACAAAAATAAACCTACATAATGATGCATAGATTAATTACAATGATATAGGAAAATAACAATATGTATTCTGTTTGAATCTATTAGCTTTCTACTTTTTTTTCTTCAAGTAACATTTTCATCAACCAAGTATATATATCATATAGTTGCAGTTTCATTTCCTTTATATAAAGTTGTTTTATCTCTACCATTTGTTTATGTACTGATGAAGAACTCAATAGGTTTTGAATTTTAAAATAGAAGAATCTCGACGATTCTCCAAAAAAATCTATAGAAGTATAATAATGAAAAAAAAAGAAAATGTTTTACATTTAACAACGATACATCTTATGCATCTGAGGTTTTTTTTTCTTAACTTTATCACAGTCGTATTAATTATGGTCAGTGTCATCAATCTATTTTCAATTCAAACTTTTCGATTTCTTTTGCATAAAGAGGACATTTGTATCACGTGAACCATCACCATCTCAAATCTTTCTTCACTTCTATTGTCTTTGTTTTCTGTTTAATTAATTTACACCACTCTTATGTTTATCAAATAGATCGATTATGACTTAATTTATAGTTTATTAGAAAATGTTTTTATAAAGAAAAATACTTGCTAAGATAAAATCTAAATCTAAAATTGAAATTATTTTGGAATATTTAAATATCTAAATAATGATTTAAGTTATTTCAAAGTAGAATCATTTTGAAATAAAAAAAAACAACTTCACTACTTATTTTGTTTTGTTTACAAATTATATTTGTGAGAAAAAATAAAAACATGTCAAATATGTCGTGTGTCATTTCTTTGTCTATACTTGACTAAAGTATTAAATGAATCAATATTATAACGTAGACATATGGGTTGACATTTATTCAGATATTCTACGATCGATAGTTGATGATGTAGAGATAGAACAAATGTCTACGACAGTTTTCATAATATTCACAATTACAATATTGAAATTGTGATTTTAATCCAAAATAAATTTCCTGAAATGCGATAAGACTAAGTCATTTTTGACATTATAAAGGAATAAAAGTATTCAGCAATACATTATAATGGTAGAATATCATCAATTGTAAGCTTTAACCTGTTGTTTTGATCAGCTATTTCAATAGAAATTATTTCGTATTAATGAAATTTACAAATGGTTTGATGATTTTTATATTATTTATTCCTAAATATGAATCAGTCATGTTTTATTCATATTCAATTTTGAAACAAAATAGAACTTGCTTTCACACGGTTCACTTTAATAACGAATTTTATCAGTTTTAATATAAAAGTTTTACTTTATTTTTGAATTACTAGCACTTTAATTTTCTACGCTAAAAAAAGTATAAAATTTCTGAAAATGTTTTAAGTTCGACATTAGAAGGTTTTCATAACCTTTACTATTTAGTACCAATAAATCCAGTTTTTGACGCGCTTTAATTTGGTATAAATACTTTGTGATATTATCTGTCCTTTAAGTCGTAGAAGGGAAAGCAAAGGTTATCTAACATCCCGTACATACCTTGAAGTGTCCCTAAAAAACGACCTGGGCCTCCATACTTTACACGAGTAAAAAGATTTTAATTGTTATCTCAGACTGTTTTCGACGACGTTACGTCTAACTAGCCTATTAAAATTGAAAAAAAAAGATTTCTCCCTGAAAGTGGTAGAAACCCCACGAATTCACTCAATATACATACTTTGCTTTATCTGTAAGTGAAAAGTTAGTCTTCTAGCATAGTTTGAACACAGCAGGCCTCAATATTTGTGTGGACACTTATGCATTATAGGCTATAGAAATACTTAAAAAAACGACAAAAGGCTGCAATAAGTGTTCAAATGTGTCTTTAATGTATGATAAAAACACAGATATAAAAATGGAAGAGACTTTTTATAAAAATTTAAAAGATTCATTAAAGCATTTATTTTACCTATATTTATTAAAATCTTCTAAAAAATCAGATCGGCTACATTCCATTTTTCTCTATCAATTAAATTGAACAAATAAGATAAAATGAAATATGTTACTAAATATTTTTTAATGTAAATCCAACACAACCGGAACTAAACACGATAAATTAATATGATGACGACCATGTGTTTGAAAGAAAAAACTTTATGACAATCAGAGAACGTCACAGGACGGTTTCTTTTGTTCTACTCCACATTCTGCAGGACAAAAGGACCCTACTGTATTCTGCCTGCAGAACGATTTTTGCATTACATTTTTGACAAGGATAAAAACCTGTATGAATATCAGGTACGATGTCAAATATCATGGATGTACTATTTGTATAAGAATGATTCAAAATAATCATATAAATAAACCTTATCAAATGTTTTTCAGAAGAAATGAAATGAAAAAAAAACCTTGACGTCCATAAGACGAACAAAAGAATAAGAGAACAAAGATAAAAATATAGGATTCGCGATGTAAGCAATATACACAGATGACGATGAGACAGAATAAGTTTTGTTTTTACTGCTTGTTCTTGAATTTCTCGTATCAACGAATAAATAATATGTTATCAATCTGATTTGGTGATAAACGTGTTCGTCTTTCAATAAATGTCAATCTAGCTGAGCTAAGTAAGCTTTTCACTGAAGCACTAGTCGCTGATATGACATGCACCCATCTAACTACTATAGATAATAATAGAAAATCATCATGAGTTTCACTACTAGATCAGAAGTCCATTGGATCATGATCAATTAAATAACTTGGATATCCTGCAGAACTCAAATATTATCCTGTAGCTCCTGCGTTAAAAAAAAAAAGATTGTCCTGTTTCTGCATATGCAGGACAAAATAACCTACCCGTAGAGCAGGTCCTGCATCGTATGACGTTGTCTGGTGAGAGTATACCGTTTCAGCATAGATTTCATATTTAATGAACTTGTTGTTTGTCTTTACTTATGACGGAACATTTTCAAAAAAAAAATCCTTCTTTAGTAAGTTTTCTTAAGGTCTATGTATTACAAAAATAGTGGAACCAAAAAATAAATTTAAGAGTAGCAGAAATATTATTGCAAAACAGGGGTAAATTTCGTTTTTGGACGACTATCTATGAGAAAAACTTTAGTTGATTTTTCTTTTGTATAGAGAATACTGTAAACAATATTAGTTCAAGTAGATAATCAGTTGTATTAACTTAGTAAAACAAGAGAATATGTTTCATGTATACAACTCATCAAACAATACAAACATTTTATTTATTTAACAAATTATACAAGTTTTTCAGCATCATCTAATTATTTTTTATTTTTTGGTGAACGTGGATATTGAAACTTTTTTAATACACTTCCTCTGTTTTCATTACCAGCAACAATTTCAGTTAGTTCTTCATCATCATCATCATCATCATCATCATTATCTTCATCGGAAGAGACGGAAATATGAAATTTAACAGCAGATGGACTTGATTGTTGGTCTTTGTTAGCTATGATACTTAATTCTATATTATCACCAGAAGTTTGTTTTTGAGCAACAACAGAACTTATTGTTTCTAATAAATCACGTGATTTTTCATGTTTTTCGTTATCAACATAACCAATAATAAAATGAACACCACTATTATGTCGATTCATTGAATTTTCATTGATCACTGCTATAT